AAACTGACAATCCTAGTCAATTAAGATTGGAGTCGAGTGCACCCGCACGAGCGGGGTTCGAACTCACAACCTCAGTGTTGACTGGCTAGTGATTACAGTAATAACTACTGTAAACCACTCGGCCACCGAGACCCCTTGGGGCATCATATATAATCTATTGTTATTGTTATGTATCGTATGGATAAGGGCAAGAACAAACTTAAGGTGTAGAATAGACTAAAAAATAAAGTAGAGGGAATAAATATGATGTTAAAATATAAACAAAATTGAAAAAGGGATCACAATAATTAAAGAAAAGAGAAAGATGGTCTAAAAAGTTAAAGAATAAAGAATTGAAGAGTCCCCTATCCAGACCCTCAGTTAATGTCTAGCACAATACATGTATATATGGATTCTTTGGGAGTCTTGCATTACGTTATTAATTGAGCCAACCCAGCCACTCTATTCTTTCTATGAAATAGTTGTATAACTCGGATAAATTAAAAGAAAAAGTATGAAAAAATGTCATTTTTACAACTAATATTTGTTTATCCCATATCTCAGTAATTGAGGCCAAAAATAAAATTTACATTGTTTAATGTTGACTACTTACCTACCTAAAAAGCAGCCTATCTAAAATATTTCATGATTTGAATTTTTAGTTTAAGATATTTTTCTTGCTCTTACGTCGTTTTCTTGTCTAAAACATGTAAATTATGTTGTTGGCCAAAAAAAAACCCTACCTACCTAACCAACTCTACAAGGCATGTGTAGGCTTCATCAAACAAAGATTTTTTTAAAGATGGCCTGATATAGAAAAATACGCGATACCTTATAAAAAAAACAGAGCAAAATATGGTGAATTAACCAAATATTAAACTATTCCTTTTGGAAAAGAGAGATATGTCTTAATTAAAAAAATATTCTGAAAATGTGTGAAATACTTGCCACTGGACTTACATCAAACAACTATCAATCTATCTTTATCAAAAACGTGTTGTTATCAAACGTAGCGGAATACAGCTGAATACTTCTCTTCCAACCGAAGTGGGTCTGGATGGAGTTAACAGCATAGAGAATAATGAAAAAATAGAGAAAAATGTGCTGAACTATAAAGATTAGAGAATATGTGCAAAGTATATAGAGCTATGGAAAATAAAAGATTTAGATAATAAAATAATTATCACAGAAAGGAATTATTTAACAGAATAATCCTTCCATTTAAAGATAAAGAATAAACGCCATTAACAAAATTATTGAATACACATAATTATCTGTCAGATCGTCCCCGTGTCCCTTAAGGTAGTAAATTAAAGCAAATTGGACTATTCCTTTTATAGGAGTCGAATGAACTATGTAGATCGGCAACAATCATGCCCATATAATATATTATATACACTCTGACATAAGTTACGACAATCTTACCATGTGTTCGCTACTCTCCCATCTCAGTGGACATAAGAAACGACAACGTAGGAAGGAATGCAGAGGACACAGTATTAATTTATCGTATCCCACCTTACCAAAGAAATCCCTCCGACAAAACAGTTTCCATATTACATATTTAACTAACTAGAAAATATATCCTTCCGACAGAGCAGTACCCCAACATATCTAACCTTACCCAGGAAAGATACCACTTCGACAGAGCAGTACCCCAAACTACATAACTTACCCAGGAAATATGCCCCACCGACAGAGCAGTACCCCAAAGTATATAAACATGATAAACTTCCTCAGGAAAGATGCCCCTAGGCCCTACGTCAGACCAGTATTTAAACCACATAAAATACCCAGGAAAGGTACCTCTCCGACAGAACAGTGCCCCAACATACCTAGCTTATCCATATAAGATATCCCTCCAACATCACGGATAGAGTCGTATCCTAAGGACATGGAGAAGTCCTTTCCAATGATAAGTAGGTAAAAAAATCCCATATGTAAAGTGACTGCATCTGAAGTATCGTGATCACTCAAGTCGGTGAAACTCGATGAATCGATCACCATCCATCCCGGTGAAAATGCTCCAGCTACTAGAAGCAACAGAGCTATTACTCCGAACACAACAGGGCAAAGTTTCTCCATTTTGTGTTAGTATATAAATCCGTATGTAATAACAAGTTGTTGTATACTGATTAAAATTAATAACACAGCACTCGTAAACTTATTTTTGATTCTACATGGGATTGCATTTTATTTAAGCCTTTTAATGAATCAGATGTTTATTGCACAGTGAATGCATGTCTTAGTATGTTCAAGAGAATGATTAACCGTTTCACAGAAGTGCTTATTAAAGCAGATATATAAATGGTGTGAGACAACGTACAGTGCTTATCATTGCTACTAATCATGTGTATTTCTATGGCAATAACATTCACGTGCTAAAAATAGGAATGTACAGCAGTTCAAGGTTTGGAAGCGACCATTTGATTCTAAGGGGTGTGTAGAAAATCTGGTCTGATCAGAATATTTAGTTTTAAATGTATGCCAGACGTAGTGTTTGCTTTAAATCTGTTGCTAAATTTGTAGTGCGTTTAAACTTTTTTTGCGGTCATAATAACTATTTTGCTTATATGGGTTCCAGAATTTTTTTCGAATATTCCGAATAACTGCAAGGTCCCGACAACATTATAATCAAATGACCCCCCCCCCCCCCCTTTTCTCTTGTAAAAAAATCAATCTTCATATGTACGTTACAGGAAATCTATTCATGTGAGCATATGGGAATAATATTTGTGGATTGCTTTTCATAGCCATGACTTGGTACAGCTAGGTAAAACTTTCAAATGAAAAAAGGGAATAGAAGCAGATCTAACACTGCTCAATATTTCAGTTTAGTATGACTGTCATTATGGGGTATGGATAGTGGTTCTTAATATCTGAATTCTTAAAATTTTTAAGGCATTTTTCTTTATTTTTAAAAAATAACGCCTATTATGTAAAATTTTCCAGAAAATGATTTTACAATTAAAATGTTCTGTAACAAGATTGTTTCTTTATTCTGTACGTCGTTCATTTCTGTAATCAGTAAATTGCATTACCTTATTCTAAAAAATCAGATATTTTTTATACTATTGCCCCCCCCCCCCCCCCCCCTTTTTCTCTATTCTTTATATTTAAATTGCTCATTTTTCTCTATTAATTATTTTAATTGGCCATTGTTCTCCTTTCTATAAACTATATCCAGTCCCTCTCATACTAGGTAAGCGTGTTCTGCAAAATTTGGCTTCGTATTCATTATACATACCTCACAACCATACATGGACACAATGCGGCCCGGGGACAATTATAAATCAATCAATCGCGGGAGCATAACGATTTCAAATTCATTTGATGTTCCATAAGATTTTCGTTATATTTACATTAAACATTGTTAAAGGGGGAAGTCTATTTCAACCTCACGTTTATAATTATCAAACTAAAATTATAAATATCATTAAATATGTATAGAGAATAATGCATGGTAAAATTCGTATCATATGCTGTATCAACCCGAGTAACCAATATCAGCCATAGAAAAGATTGAACCAAGACTAGAAAAATTGGACAAAAAAATCAAGAATACAAAAAATAACAGACAAACAAATTAAGAATAGAAAGTAATGAAGTGCTAAAAAATAAAGAATAGAGAATAATTAGCAAAATAGATAACGAATAGAGAAGCACCTAAAAATGAAAAAAAAAGTGAAGAACACTTTCGAGACACTGTGTTATAGTTAGAAAACACAACCTTTTCATGACGAATTTCATCTTCTTCTTTTTGTAATGAACTGTTTCGCATCGTATCTTCGTATTTACTGTTTAAAAACAACTATCAACGACATTAGACTTTTTGAGTTACCTCGCTTTTATCGAGCAATTCATGTCAAATAAAATTGTATCAGCTGAATTACATATTCACCGAGTATGAGAATATTACTGTATGATTAATACTTTTCCAAAAGGTGTATACGTAATATCATGGTAATTTCAAAAACCTTATGAAAGAACGTTTATATATAAAGAGTTAATTTTTTTCAAGCTGTTTTTTGCAATTAAAATCATTCTTTTGTGTGTGAGAAAAAAGAAAACTAAATGATAGAAGTCAAATATTCATAAGAGGACAGCTCTTGAAGTTCGTGGTCTACATAACAAAGTCACCACTTGTAGTTGTACTTTAAGCCAATCGTTTCGACTGTTTGTATGTAACGTGTGATTGATTGTGTATTGCTTATTCAGCGTCCAGTGGAAAATACTTCATGCATATTTAGGACGAGAACAAATTAACAATTCATACGATAGGTATGTTCTTCAGGGTAGGTCGGCAGGGATGAAGGACAAGAAATTATGAATTCCACTGAAAAATGGGGTAAATTGGATAGGGGCACACATTTTGGTTTGCAACCGGCTACCTACGGACCCCTCAAAGAGTTGTTGGAATGGTTCTTAAACATGCAGAAACCGCTACACTCTCCCTTAACGAGACCTTGGATGTATCGTCCAGATTCCGCCTCGATGTTGTTCAGTATGTACACATCCCTCACAGACAAACGGACGCCCCACTTTTGCAAGAGCAGGAAAAGTTCAGAAATGACCATATTGCTATGCCATTCAACCCTTTAGATGCCCAATCTATACTATAAAGATTTGCATGGAAATAAAAGAAACATATTGTTGGTTTCAGTACGCACTACATTCCTTATATTGGAAAACCAAAACAATGTAAACGACAGACTAAGAGTACAAACTGGTTACATTGATCTTCAATGGTATCGTTAAACGCGGAGTAAAACTATTCTATAACCTTGTCTACTTTTGTACCGTAGTTAAAATCATTAGAGTATTTTTAATATTAAGATCTTTTGTTTACGTTCATTGTCCAATTTGGATGTTAAATGTCATGGGTCATAGGCCGTATATAATTATCACATCGTTGTATTGTTCGACTGATTGTATCTCAGCTGAATGGTATTATTCATCTGATTGTATCATCTAAATTTCGTATTGTTTTACTAACGTCTTATTTGTGTGAAGGTTTTGTTATTGAGGTATACAACATGTTCTTCTCTTGTTTAGGTTGCTAAGGTAGAATATTCAACATTTTACATATCTGGATATTATATGTAATTATTGTGAATTAAAAACACTTGGTTTAAATTCGATAAAAGGTAAAATTAATAGTTTTAAATTATTGATTTTTCATAAATTGTTTTGTTATTAATTGGACCGTTAGTTTTCTCGTTTGTATTGTTTCACATTTGTCTTGTTTTGGGCCTTTTTAAGCCGACTATACGTACGATATGGGGTTTTCTCATTGTTGAAGTTCTTACGGTTGTCTATAATTGCTTTAAATCCACTTCATCTGAACTTGGGTGAATAGTTGCCTCATTGGCAATCATACCACATCTCCTTATTTTTATATTGATATAAATATTACGTTATTTGAATTAGATATTTTCCTTGCTGTACTATTCCGCTATTTTGCTTGCAGCCAGTGAACAAATGTTAAGTCACATCTTACGTATCTCTTTGGTTTTTTTTTTAATAATTTGATTGATTGATTGCCTATAATACAGAACAATATTTCATACGAAAAATGTGCGCACTGTCTACATGTGCCTTTCAATCCAACTAAAACTACAGAACAAAAGAAGTCATTTTTATTTTAATTTACGTGTTAATATTTATGGACGTTGCGTTTTACTGTGACATAAAACATGACTTTGAAATACCGCTTGATTGTTGTTTACCAATCAAAATTATTTTGTTCTTGTGAAATATCGTTAGAATATAATTACATATATATAAGTACGTCTAAACAAGTGACAACTCTACGACAGATCCATTCATTGGATCACCATTGAAGGTGATACACGGCTGAAAACACATATTATATTCATAATTACTCTAAATATCAGCACAACAATGTTTAAATCTGCAAATTTGCGGAAGCAAATCTTTGTTCTTCCTTCGCCGGGATTCGAACTCATGCTAATGGTGATATCGTGACAACACCTCTTGCACTGTGTCCAGCGCCCTTTTTTTTTCTCTTGATAAAATTTTATTATTACTCTAACTATCAGCACAACAATGTTGAATCTGCAAATTTGCACCTTCACTGGTAATCCAATGGATGGGTCAATCGTAGAGTTGTCACTTGTTTAGACGTACTTATCAAATAATTATTTCTGTGACTGCATCTTACGATCCTTTACGACAGATAATTTAGCTAATCTGCAATCAATTCAATCTTCATGCCTAATATATCATGTACTGTGTTACAACTCTAGATTCTACTGACGAGGAAAGGTAACACTAGGCCACCGAAAGCTGAATTTTAGTTCAGTTTAGGTGGCCGAATAGTCTAGAGCGCTGGACACAGTGCAGGCGGTGTTGTCACGATATCCCAATAGCATGAGTTTAAATCCCGTCGAGGGAAGAACAAACAAAAATTTGTTTCCGCAAATTTGCAGATTTAACATTGTTGTGCTCATATTTAGAGTAATTATGAATTACATATAAGTCTAAATTGAAAACAACGTTCATACCTATGATTGCGTTGGATAAAAACTGCAATTTTTATACGTGTGCATGTAACAAATTTCGTTGTAGAGGGGTCTAAATACAGCACAAACAACATTTTCCAAAAAGACCAAAAGAGTGAAAAAATATATTATAACAAAACGCATTTGACTAGCAGGTCGAACAACTGATGTTCTTAAACCCTGCTGACTGCCATTGGCGATTGCCAAATAAATTTATCACAAGGTGTAACAAAATGGATCTCTATATTAATTTAATACGAAGTAAAAAACAATAAATTTGCGGCAAAGATGGTAAACCACAACAAAAGTTGCTTATTTTTTTACACCATATCCGGATTTCGACAATAAATGTCTCTTCAGTGATGTTAGGGATCGAAAAGTATTTGGAAGGCCATTTAGTTTACCTCAATTTAGGATAGACTCTTGAATGTTAAAGAGTCAAAATAGGATGAACGGATTATATAAACCAGAGGGAAAATATAATACAAGCCCAAACGAAATAAATATAAACCAGTCTAAATTGAAAACAACGTTCATACCTATGATTGCGTTGGATAAAAACCGCAATTTTTATACGTGTGCATGTAACAAATTTCGTTGTAGAGGGGTCTAAATACAGCACAAACAACATTTTCCAAAAAGACCAAAAGAGTGAAAAAATATATTATAACAAAACGCATTTGACTAGCAGGTCGAACAACTGATGTTCTTAAACCCTGCTGACTGCCATTGGCGATTGCCAAATAAATTTATCACAAGGTGTAACAAAATGGATCTCTATATTAATTTAATACGAAGTATAAAACAATAATTTTGCGGCAAAGATGGTAAACCACAACAAAAGTTGCTTATTTTTTTACACCATAACCGGATTTCGACAATAAATGTCTCTTCAGTGATGTTAGAGATCGAAAAGTATTTGGAAGGCCATTTAATTTACCTCAATTTTAATATAGACTCTTGAATGTTAAAGAGTCAAAATAGGATGAACGGATTATATAAACCAGAGGAAAAATATAATACAAGCCCAAACGAAATAAATATAAACAAGTCTAAATTGAAAACAACGTTCATACCTTTGATTGCGTTGGATAAAAACCGCAATTTTTATACGTGTGCATGTAACAAATTTCGTTGTAGAGGGGTCTAAATACAGCACAAACAACATTTTCCAAAAAGACCAAAAGAGTGAAAAAATATATTATAACAAAACGCATTTGACTAGCAGGTCGAACAACTGATGTTCTTAAACCCTGTTGACTGCCATTGGCGATTGCCAATATATATATATATATATATTTTGATTGCCAATATATATATATTTTTTTATTGCCAATATATATATATATTTTAATTAGTTTAAACGATAATGGAATGGTAATGTATATATATTTCAGATAGCAATGACTCAGTCCGAAAAGTTCTGCAAGCCATGTTCAAGAAGTGGAAGGTCATCCGTTGCTGTAAAACACTGTCATGACTGTGCAGAAACGTTGTGTTCGGATTGCTTCCAAGTCCATGATACGTTCAAACCTCTTCTCACTCACCACGTTACTGACCTTGGTGATACTGGTGTACATGCGTCTTTGAGAAGTAAATTATGTACAGAACATCCGGGTTCTAAAGTGGAATATTACTGTAACTCGCATGCGTGTCTTTGCTGCAAGTCATGCATAGGAGTTGGACATAACATTTGTGGCAAAGTAAAGCCGATCGATATTGCTTCAAAAGACGTGAAAAAATCAGCAGAGTTTAATGATTTTGTAAAGTCAATTGGCATCATGAGGAAAACGGTAAGCCAGCTAAAGGAGAAAACGCACCAAAATAAAGAAGATCTTTGTGACAACAAGGCTAAAATCAAGAAACGGATTCGAAAATACAAATCAAACGTTCTCAAACACATTGATAATATCGAAACAGAACTGATAGCGGAAGTAGACTCCGTGTTTTCATCTTTAATATCGAAAGCCGAGAATGAGGTAAATATAATTGATCAACAAGCAGAGCACGTTAACGAAATGTGCAATCAGTATGAATTTCTTGAAAAGAATGGAACAGAAAGCGATCTATTTGTAGTTCTAAATTCTAATTCGAAAAGTATTGCGAAAAGTCTAGAGGCTCTCAAAGTAGCTTTGAAATCACGTGAACAAACGGAAGTCTCCTTTCAAAAGTCAAATTTGCTGTCTGTAATTAACTCCCTTGGAACAATAACCGTTGATACTATAAATGAAGATGGTTGTATATAAATGAAAGTGGTTTTGCCACCGACACTGTTAGAAAGCGCCGTCAAAACTACATGCCTACGAGATTTAAGTTGGATAAAACATTTATGGTAAGTGACAACAATGACGACATTGAAGTAACCGGGATTGGAGTAACACGAAATGACAGTTTAATTCTCTGTAACAAGCATAGTGCCAAGTTGATGATTTATTCAAGTAAAATTCAGTATCTCTGCGAACTACCACTTGCAGGAAAGCCATGGGATATAACCGTCGTACCGGATTCGGACGAAGCATGGGTTACAATCCCGGAAAGCAGCTGTATTCAGCATGTAGATGCAGATTCCTCAAATGTCGATCCACCAATTAAAGTTCCTAAGTGTTATGGAATAACTTTGGTAGAAGATAATATTGCATTGGGGCGATGGGGCGAGGTTGTCATTGTTAACAAGGACGGGATTCGTGTCAAACAACTGGAATTTGGAAAGGGAATAATACACAGCCTCTCTTCTGGTATCAATGGGACAATCTACTGCTGTGAGAGTGAAGATGGGATGTTCCGATGTATCAGACTCCTAGATGGAAAAGTCATGTTTACGTATAATTCCGAGGATTTTCGATGGCCAGTTAACATGGCGACTGACGTGCAGGATAATATATATCTGCTCGAAATGAAGTCGCATAACCTTCATCGCCTGCTACCAAAAGGAACGTTTCATAAAGAAATGTTGACGGCGAGTGACGAACTAAACTTCCCACGATGCATTGCGTTTAATAAAAACTATTCGAAATTGTACATATCAAATGATCTGGGAAAATCTATTTCTGTTTTCTCTTGTAAATATATTTGAAATTTTTCTCAGCAAGATCTTTAAATAAATGTTGTGAAATAATCATACATGTACACGTATCTTCTCCGCTTTCAAGATGTCTTTAACCTAATGATATTGACCAGTTCTTTTATCACCCAGCCGCAGCGTCAGCTGTTGCAATTACTTCTTAAACACATTTTACTATTGGTTCAATAGGGAGGCGAATGATACGAAAGGGACATTAAAACTCATATATAAGTCGAAAAATAAACTGACAACGCCATGGTTAAAAAATAAAAAGACAAACAGACAAACAACAGTACACAAAACACATCAGAGAAAACCAAAGTCTGAGCAACACGAACCCCACCAAATCCGGGGTTGATCTCAGTTACTCCGGATGGGTAAGCAGATCCTGCTCCAAAACTTGTAATGAACTTAATATAAGATTACACAAGCACTATTTACAGAATAGGTTTATTTGTAGAGTTTTAAGTATGAGAATTTACGTCGGATCCACAGTTGGATCATATCGATGACTTAGAAATAGTATTTAATGTTTCGCGTTTAAAAATTTAAACATAATAACCAGAATGAGCAATAACAAGTCGAATACCGTAACCTTATTCACCACTAGAACGTGAAAAACGGTGGCTAAGTTGTTCATCGATCTAAAACATGGCACAGTCCGATGTTGCTAACCTGCAGATTATGAAAAAAATTGTCTTTACGATCATCAATATTTCTGGCTCAAGTATCCCGAAGTTCACGTATTTCATTATAATACTATGATTTTCTTACAAATTTCTTAAGATTTCAACTTGACATTAAGATGAATCCAGTAAATAGTTTCAACTTTAAAAATGTGTTCATGTGTTATTCATTTTCAATTTAAAGTAAAGGATTTTATAAATTGTTGACACTAGACATATTCTTGTTAAAGAATTTCAATTTCGATTTTGATGGGTTTTAAAAAGGCGTTTTATATTCAAACGATCCCAGTTTAAATTAGTGTATACGTATTATAACCATGTATTGCACCATTTGGAAATATATTTGATTTACGAATCTATAACCATGGTTTCCTGACAGCGATTTTCAGGTAAGAAATCGAACTTTGACTTTGAATAATGTGAAAACCACACAAACGTTCTTTGTCCTTATATCTGCCGTGCAGCAATCACTTTTACTGTTTATTAATATCAAATTTCCACTGTAAGATATTGACAGCTGTATATATCCTTGACAATCATCATTTTCCCACTTTTTTGTGAGATAAACACCTGAATATTCCGTGATTTCAATTGCAGTTAAATCCGGTTTCGATTCCGATATTAATATTTTCAAGTAAAATAAATTTGGTTTTCTACGCCCTCTGGCAATGGGTTGACAATTGAATGTTATAATTTCTCCTCGATGAATCGGTCGGTTCAAAGAACATGATGTCCATTAAAACCACCAATATTCACTGGAAAAGATAGAATAGAATTAAACTGTTTATATATACACCAAAGTTTTATTGTTAAAGCAAATGTAAATAGTATTCCAGACTCTGTCCAACCTAAACATGCCATGAATAATATGCAATGTTAAGCAAACGGCAATCAATCAATCAATCTTTCCCAAAAAATCTTGTTGGAAATGCGATCTTCGACAAATTATGCAGTGCAAAATTCAGCTGGAAGATTTCAAAACATACCTGATAAATCATTGTAAATGTCGAGAGAAATTTAGTGCTCATTTTGCTCATTGTCACCTGTAAATGCTGACATCGTTTATCTCATTGGTCTCTGGTAATGGTCGTCTCTTTTGAAATAATACCATTTGTTTTTGATAGACCGAGTCGTGAAAAATATTATGAATTAGAATATTGCTTACCTATTTGAACAGAAACTATGCCATAAACTATTTCAAAGACAATCCAAGCGCCTCTATTTCTTTTCACGTTTGCAAAGCGCTTGCCTGTAGTAACTGAGCGTAAAGTCAGTGTATCGCCATCTTGTCTTTTACCTCGCATGATCGTAACAAATATCGGTGAAACGTTTGAGAGTGTAATACTACTTATTTGTGAAATAAGATCAGCTCCATGCACATGTTTTCTTAGGTTACTCAAGAATATCGGGTCGATCTGAATTACACCAAACCGTATCTCACCAATTCCAAACAATTGGACAGTGATCTTATCGCCCTGGTTGACAGGCAAGTTTGTAAATGCCACACCATCAGCATAAACTGGCGCCCACGTCACTGCTAAGCCATTGTCAACGACTGTCAAATTCTCACCGTGTTCTTCAAACTTAATTTCTAAAATTATACATGAATATGAAAAAAGGAGAAAACGCATATACATATGTCAATTAAAAATAAACCAAAAACACAAAAAAAAAATCAAATTAAAAGTGCGGTTTCAACAGCCGCAGCCACTGTGAAACTACTTAATTAAATTCGGACGATTACGCATATGATTTTAATACCAATATACTTACAAAACTACGTAGTGGAAGCTTGGAATTATATTTAGAAATAGGTCGGTATGACAATATTTCTAGAGACAATCGTATTTGTAGATGTTGTAAAAAAAATAATATTGAAGATGAATATCATTTTGTGTTGATTTGTCCTGCATATGATATAGAACACTTAGATGTTACTTTTTACCAAAGTATTATTGTTCATGGACAAATACACGAAAGTTAATTTTTCTGTTACAAGCTGGGTTCAAAAGCTTAACTAAAAAACTATGTAATTATCTTAAAACTGCATGCAAACTAAGATCGCAAATTATCAGTTAATATGTTGTACACATTATTATATTAAGTTATCTCTGCATTTTTTAATTTATTTAATTGTTCTCTGTATTCTGTCATATTTGTCATATATGTATATACCTTGTATTATGCTAAAGCAATGTTGTTGCTAATGTAATAAAGATTATTCAACATTCAATGTTAGAACATAACGCCTTATTTCATCTGAATTTTACCAATACTTTGCTAAAAATGTTAATAGCCGTAGAATCCGGATTCCGAATCGATCTTATTTTTTTAAAAGTTTCTTGTCAATGAGCAACTTCCATATTTATTGTTATTAACCAGAAAATCAAAAAGAGTAAACGACTTATAGTCCATTAACACAACTGTGCGGCTCCTTCGAGGAAAGCCCGGTAACGAATTACGGAGTTAGAATCACAGAGCGGTATACAAAAATTGAATAAAATGCAGTTGCACTCCAATAAATCAGTTTAAACTATTTTAAATTTATTATTATATATTACTGTTGAATTTTTTCATTATTAAGAATTACACTCTATCATTATATTTTTGTTGGATGAGTGCGTTTACTTTTCATTAAAAGGATAATATCGAAATATCTTATTTAAATTTAAAATTTAACTTCTGTTAAAACCATTTTAAAATCCAAACTTCCATTTAAAGTTTCATGTCGATAAACGAGTCATTAATTCAAAATAACGTGTTAAGTGATCATATCACAGAAAACAATAGAGTCACTCAATTATAAAGATTAATATTGTAACAGTTACAATGTATTAAGTTTTCTTTGCTACTTCACCATGTTCATAAGTTCAAATATTTTTAAACGTTTTTTTTTTATTGATCGGTCTTTTTTTGGAAGGAAACTATTCAATTAACGTATACACAACATCCAGTACTATCATTATATAATTTTGTAAAAAAAAACATACAGGGCTTTGGGTGAGAATAATAATAAATTGGATTTAACGTCCAGTGGCAACTATTAGATGCATATTAGGACGAGAACATGCTATAGCAATACGAACACGAACCTGCTTTGTATTTAACTGACACAAACTATCGTATTTCTAAAGTGTTAGTTCAGAATTTGACAGTCTTACATGCTCTTATTACTCAAAGTCGAAATACTGCGTTCTTAACGGAGAAGCAGCAAATACCATTTATCAAATCTATAGTTTGACACGACAGTGTATCAAGTCCAAAAATCGATCGCACTCGTGGTGACCACGCTATCACGGGGGGATAAAAAGACGAGAAGTTCAATAGGCTGTTTTCAATTGTCTAAAAAGATATGCTAACCACATAGACTATAGATATACACAATTGTCGAAGGACTGGCACCAACTAAGAGTTTTGTTGTAAAATGACAAATAAAGGCTCTACATAGCATGTTTCGCTCACCTGCATGTTCCGGGGGTTGTACCCCTCCCCCTTTTTTAACGAACAATTCATTTGAATGGGGACCTATGGTTAGACCCCTCCTTTATCCTTGGTTTGGACACCCCCTTTTAAAAATATCTGGATCCGCCCCTGATGTTTAACTGTGTTTTTTTTTTTAAAAGGGAATAAGTTTACTTTAATATTAAAAGTTACCTGACAATTTCAGTCATGTTGACGGATTTGTGGATCTTATTCTGCTGATTTTTTTTTAAAATACACCAAAAATTGTAAAAAATATTTATCAAAAGGTCAATACTAGTAACTGCAATAAGAACGATTTCGGCCATTTCGGCATATTTGTAGATCTTGTCTTGCTGATCAATTTTGTTATTTAAAGTTTCTGTTCATATATTATAATGTTTGAGACAATTGGCCAAAAAAAGACAAATCAATTGTGACACTTGTTGACAAATGAGAAATCCGTGTGCCAATGGAACTCTTACATTTCCATGTTCAGTGAACCGAAAAATATGGATCAAAACAAATTTTTCATACTAGTATATTATATCATATCATAATGAACATGTGTCTTATATTTAAAGTTGATGTGACCACAATGCAACTTTACGGTTTATCGCCATGAACTAAAACTTGTATCCGCGAAACGAGACTTCCTCACGGATGTACGAACGGAAGAATGCAAACACATGGGGAAAATCCACTTCCCACCATCATCATATGGCGTATAAACTTTCCGATAAATTATATAATCAATTATGAGTTTTCTGAACAATGAGTGTTGTAAATTTCAAAATATACACAAACAGGAAAACATGATTTTTTTACATAGTGTATGTAGTATAATTATAAACATCTGCAGCTGGTTTTGTGGAAAATATCAACCAGCGACACTTTTCACAAAAAAACTTA